AGAAAGAGAGGAAGGAAAAAAAAACGGGGGGGAGGAGTTTGCCTCTTAACACCCCACTCTCCTTCTCTGTCACTTCAACCTCTTGCTCCAAGATCAGTGATTCATACTTGTTTTATAGTTATGATAGAGTTCTAACAGTGTTGGCTTTCTTCCACTTTCTCACGCTTTTGGTCTTATTGTGTGCAGAAGTGTATGACTATAGTAGGCCCCCCTAGACTGTACCTTTTGTGGGTAGGGTCTAAACTGAATGGTTACGGGAGTTCTAAAGTCTCAGCATACATTATTCAGTTTTAACAGGAGCATTGTAATAAGAATACATAATGGAGTTGTTTTTGATTATGCAATCAAAGTTTACGTGAAAAAAAATCCCTTTTATGTAGTGAGTGCTGCCTTCTGTCCCTCTATTGCTTTCAACAGCATCCTGGATCCCATTGTGCTTTGCATCTTTTTCTTTGCTGCTTGATGTGATACAATCTCAATTCCTCAAGGACATATAGCCCATAATGCATTGCTTCCAGCAAGCATTGATTATGTTGCATTATTCAGATGTTGAGTTGTAGTTCAGAAGGCAGGCTGTGTAAGAGTGGTGATGCAAGAAAGTGCATATTCACAGGGCTGAGTGAAATTGTGTCAGTGCATTGTGGAAGTAGACACCTCAGTAATAGCTCTTAAATCTTGAAGTGCTTTCTCCAGATCACCTACAAAGGGGGATTTTAGACTATGGATTTTTTTGGCACCAATATAAAAATGGAAGTTTAGGGATTGTTCATACTGTTTACCAAGAGGCTTTTCGGGTTGTAGATGCCATTTCCGGTGACTGGGTATCAAACCAGAATGAAGCATTATCCATTTTGCATTTGCTTACATATTCTAAATGAAGTTGGAAGTCTAAATGAAGAGGGAGCAGAAGTCAACTTAATTGCTCCAATTTGGCCAAAGAGGACCTGGGACAACGTGCTAAGTCTGATGTTAGCGGAAGACCCCTAAATGCTCCCTGTTTTGGAAGATCAGGTTCAGTCTCATCTGAAAGTAGTATGACTGTATCTAATAGCCTGGCGTTTAAGTAGAGTAACTGAACTCTGCAAGCTGTGGCTACAAAAGCGCAGGCAGAGGGCAAAGGACACCAGTATTCCCTGTGGTCTCCCTGAAGCTAATCTTTCCCCCATTACAGATTACCATGCCTTGTTTCACACTGTCTGTGTGGAGGTGATCATCTTGGAAGAGACAGGGTTTTGCTTCACTAAATTTCACTGTAAACCTCTTGGGCCTAGCAGTCAGAGGCAGCAGTGCCTTAGACCTCACACTCTAGATATATAGCTATGAAGCTGTAAGCACACTTACACAGTCGCATGCCAGGAAGTGCAATGCTATTTTTCAAGGGGAATTTAGGACAAAAGGAGTAATTTTCAGGGTACTGCTTGGACATGTTATATGTAACATGTCAGAGTTAACATGTGTTCCCTATAACATGGCAAATCAATGTTTTTGTTCAGTCCCACTTTGAAATTACGGTTCTCTCAGAAAGATATAATTCATTTAAAAAAGAAGTAAAAAAACTAGTGACATCTACTATGCACTTTACAGTTTGAAGTGTTTATTTCCTCTCCATACTATGATATAGTTAACGTAACAATGTTTTCTTTACTACAGAAGAGTCTTCATAAGGATTTACCCTTGGTACACTAATAACGCAGATTCTGCTACATGCTGCCTTAATACCAAAAAAGCATTGGTACTTTCGTGGCTAAAGATCTTCCTTGGTGCAGATTTTTGTATTCATCCTTCGATCTGCTTGAGATGCCCATTGGGAACCCTTACCTAATAATCAGTTTTGACAATGTTAGCATATGGCACAAAGAAAAGAACGGCTGATAGATGGGTTAGGATATGCTGAGGTTGTTCAACTCTTTACTCATTTCCATCGCTAAGTTCAAAAACTCATTCCACACGTGATTCCTACCTCTTGGACCAATTTAGAACCTGCCTCAGTTTGGGGAAACCGTAAAGTCTATGTATAAGACAACACTTTTTCATTCAGTTTTGAATAGAGTAGGATAGTGTTGGGCCCACTGCCAAATTTGTATTGCTATCTGTTTTTGCCGGGAAGATTTACCCCTCCATTTGACCTGGTGACCATTGTCACTGAGACAGAAAATGAGGGGAGAGCCTATGTTTTAGGGCTCATTCAGATGGGCGTGCATGCTTGTCTGAATGAGCCCTAAAACATAAAATGATCCGATCCCGGAAGGGATGGGTACTGCGTGTAATTGTGCGCAGTTGCCTTTTCTTCCCTATGGGAGGATGCGGCTGCACTTAATTATGCATGGTCACATGCACACGCAATTACACGTGGTAGCACGCATACCCAGACCCGCACAGCTTTGAAGGTGCGGTTGTGTGTCTCACCTTGTGTAAATGTGTTCTGCCGTGTCCTCCAATAGGGAAGAACAGGCTGCTGCAAGCAATTACACGCAGTACCTGCCCCTTCCGGGATTGGGTCATTTTACGGGTATGCACGCCCACCTGAATGAGTCCTTAGAGTTTTCACCAGGGCAAGAAGTGAAAGGAAAACATGCAATTGGGGAAAATGTTTGGATGGCAACTGTCTAAGATGGGATTTCCCCTTACTTTGTGAAGATTTCCTTCTGTGTTTAGGAAATGAAAATCTCCCCATGGGGACACAGACAGCAAATGTATAATCCGATGGGGTTTATAACTCTTCCATACTCAACCCAAATCTAAAAAAAAAAACGTTTTGGCTTTACATACACTTTATTTTAGTAAAAGAAATGTCTTTGAACAACTGTGTGATAGTGCCCTCTAATGTTCAGAAGTGTTCGATCATAGAGAGTTTGCTCATCATCCATGGAATATTTTATATTGAATAAGGATATTATTTTTAGTCCAGTAAAGTTTTAAATGGGTCTGAACTTGGATCTGTTTGACAATTTTATTGATTTTTTTTGGCTAAAGGTTTTTTTTTTCTTAGACAACTATTATGTACTGTGATTGTTCAGATGTAAACAGAAAGTGAAATGACTTAACATGATGTAAGTGGGTCATTTGAGTGTTTCCAGCTGAGATTTAGCAATTTCCTTTAGTGCTCATGTGCCAGATTATTATCTCAGTGTCTTTCTTTAATAATTCCCTAAGGGTAAGCTATCTTCAGCCTGTGATTATCAATCCAAATGAAGCTCACACTTGGGTCATGTCTTAATACTGTGAGAAACGTTTGAAGTGTATTACTGGTTGTGTGCAACAGCTCACTGTAACTTTTATTTAATATAATATCCCATGCATGTTATTAATTGCATATTACAACAGGGCTGGACAAATCCCAGGTGCCATGTAGCCAATCTTCTTCAAAAATCACAGCTGGCTCCTAGTTTTTGAGGTTTTCTCCAGTTTTTATCAATTGAGCTGATGCCTAAAGATATCCTGCTGGCTCCTGGATTGGACAGACTAGCTTCTAAGCTTCATATTAATTTGTCCACCCCGCATTAGAAAAAGTGGGATACAGGACATGTCGCTTCACTGCATAATGAACACACAGTGCATTCAGAGTTTCTCATGGCTCTTCAAGTGGAAAATCCATTCAGTAACTTATAAAATAACAAACATCTCATGCGGTTATTACAATAGCAAGCTGAATTATAAAAGACCAAAGTGTTAGATCATGGTCCATACAACTCAATGTCTAACCTAGGGACTGGGAGAGGACCTAATTAATGCTATGTGAGCACCCGGTAACATAATTATAGCCACAAGTATTTAGAAAGGGTCCTGCTTGCAACATCAAAGGTAGAAACTAAGTCGCATGTGGCACACAAGCCCATAATACATAAAATCCTTTAAATCATCATGAATACAGCATAATTGGTACGTTGGGGCACAGTGAAAGCTCTCTGCTAAAAGTCTATCCCGTCACCTTTTTACTATATGATGCATGAGCAGAACTTGGAAAGCAGGGAATATTAAAAACAATTTACATTGAGCATATGTGTATTTGTAGTAGTTGCAAGAAGATGTACTTCACCTCTAAGTCATCCAGGCAGATGTTGAAAAGACAGCAGAATTGCCTGCCTCCCATATGTAAATCAGTTTAGTTCCCTTTTTTATTTAATTTTTTATAGATTTATGTGATAGAATTGTTGTTGTCTTCTAGCTCAGCAAATGCGACTCCAGAGTTTGAAGGTCGTGGGGGAGAAGAGCTTGGCACAGAGATAGCAAATATGCTGTACAAGATATTTGAGAACAAGAGCAGTATTGACCTTGAATCCCTCTGCATTTTGCCAAGAGAGCATTGCTGGGCCCTTTATATTGATGTTCTGGTAAGTAAAAGGCAACACAGTGATGCAATTAAAGAGAATGTATAGTGCAGTGGTTCTCAACCTGTGTAACCTCAGGACCCACATTTGTCCTTGGTCATTAAGTCACGACCCAAGTCGCACTGCAATTGAACACACGGCATTAGGGTACCATGCATTCCGGTGTGGGTGTACGAACTGTGGGTGGGGGTGCGTTTGCAATACCATTTGAATGAATGGCAATGTAACACACCTCCCTCACCAGACTGCACAGTAGGTGCTATTGCACGGTACAGTGCCGTTAATGCACTGTACTAGTGTGAACGGACCCTCCAAAAACACTGACACACACACAACTACAGACACACACTCAGACAGTCTCACACACACATACACAGTCCACCCAGTCTCCCTACCTTATGAAAACTGGAGTGAATCTTCAGCCTGTACAGGTGCAAGGAGGCAGAATGTGATGTCACTCCGGTCCAGGCACCTCTATATGACATGTGAGAGAGTTGTAAGCAATGCACATATGAATGGAGCTGCCTCGTGGCCATAGCCCCATCCCACCTCAAGCTGACACTCGGCGCCGGGCAGCATATTTTGAATGGCTGCTTGGCACAAGAACTGACAGTGCTGCGCTAGGGGGACGCAGAGGAGCCTCTTACCTAGAAAAGTGTAAATCAAGCGATGACCCACTGAACACAGCAGTTGAGAACCAAGAGTATAGTGGATAGGTACACATTTAAAAAAAAAAATTTTTGGTCAGTCTACCAAATGTTTTAATGTTTTACTTTTTTTTTCAATTAAAGGGACACTAAACTCCGGAATTAAATCTCACAAATGCATTCAAGTACCTTAACTATTAACAAAATTGTATCTTATTTATGTATCACTCGGCTGTAGATCCTCAAATCATCTCTGAATTCATGCGGACAGTGTCCTTCCTTCTGGAGTGTGGCTACTTTTCTTCCCTATGGTCCCTGTGTGTTGAAAAGTAGTCACCTCTCCAGGCTCACTCCTGTGATAGACTATCATTTCAATACAAATTAGTAAACTAAACATGAGATTGTAGTCCATTATGCGAGCGAACTTGGAGTGGTGAATATATCACAACACATGCTGGGAGTTCAGCACAATAGGCAACAGGGAGAAAATATTCTTGTTTGCCAGGGGTCTTGATGAGAATTTAGAGGAAAATGTTTCCGTTTGCATTTAAACTGACCACAGTAGTTAGCTTGATTGTGATTTCTGTGAAAGGTAATTGCTGTTTATTGGATCCTTATGCTTCTTCAAGTCATACAGTATACAATGGGGAAGTGAAATCTCCCAAGTCATAGTTGTTAGTGGTGGAAGTGTACTCGGACACAACATTCCTCCCTCTGACACCTAATGGCCTCCTTATAAAGAATAAAAAATAAAGAAGATTGGAAAATATGGGCTTTCACTAAAATGTTTGATGTACTGTGTGTTTATTGAATTCCAGATTGCATCAGCTCTGCGCAGTGCCACAACTCAATGCCTCATGATCAGATTGCAGACCTGTAAATGGAGAACTGTATAATGTATTCTACAAGTATACAGATACTATGAAGTGTTGACACAGATTTTAAACCCTCGAGAACTGGTCCTGTTACATTGCTAGATTATTACTGCATCTGGCAGGCACTTGCTGTGCAATATTAAAGTGACACTAAACTCAGGAGTGAAATCTTCAAAATTAATTCAAGTGATTCAAATCATCTCTGAATTGGTGCTGACACTGACCTTCCTTCTGGAGGGGGGCTGCTTTTGTTCCCCATGGTGCCTGTATGTGTTGTAAAGTTGTCACTGCTCTAAGCTCGCTCCTGTGATGGACTACAAATCCCCCCCCCCCTCCCCTGTTCAATCCTCCAGCGCTGACTGGCGGAACGGGAAGGGGCGGGTACAGCTGGCTCTGCCTTTTTATATAGGCAGAGCCAGCTGTCACTCACACAGCTGGGTGGATACAGACAGTAATGTCGAGATCCGTCCCGGCTGCGGCGTCTCGGTATACTGAGCTTAGGGTGATGGGAGGACGCTAGTTTGTGTCCTCCCGTTAACCCTTAGGAGAACTATGGGGAAAAGCCCTGACCCCATAGTTCTCCTTTTTAAGGTACTTTAATGCATTTTTAAGATTTAACTCCTGAGTTTAGTGCAACTTTAAGAGGTTATCCCAGAAAATAGAAATTCATTCATTGAGCCTCCTTGTAAAAAAAAAAAAAAACAGGGGACCCAGAGCCACTTTTAATACCTGGCAGACAGAAATATGACAAATAAAATGCATTGGTTCCGTATATGGAGGTTGTATTTTACGGTCAAATAGCAGTGCCAGACATCACTAGCAGTACGGTGTGTAAAATCTATGATTACATCTCTGTATCCAGAGAAAACACTAGAGCTACAGCTACATAGCGACCCCCTCCATGTTGCTAAATGAGGTCCTGACTAAATGGGATTTTCCTAATTTTAAAATTCATAGCAGGTAACTATGGATCATAGCATAACCGTACTGCGTACCATGAGGTCCTTCCCTTACTGTGTCTCTTGTATTCGCATCATTATGCATTTTATTCATGTATAATGAAGGTTTGTATGCACATAATGAATTCTCCCTTCGCAAGATTATCTCCCCAAGCAGAGTAGTTTGAAAAACACTGACTTAGACCACCTGTTGCAGATATATGAAAGAGATAAAAATAACTTGTATGCAAAATGTAATTGGCTCTTTATAGTTGGTAATTTCATTATTGTTTGTTCATAAAAAGCATGATTTAGGCTATTGGTAGTTATAGAAGCATTACAAATGGCCACCTGACTAATTGCTCATTGTGTGTACTTTAATGGAGACTAAAGCTGTGACTATGTTGCTTGAAGAAAACAAATGAAAAATTACCATGTAGATAAGAGTACTTAAAGCATATCTCCAGGAAAAGGGGAAAAAAACACCTCTTACGGAGGGGGCTGACCCCGCACTGCAACGGTTAACTGCACGTTATGGTCTAGGACAACCTTTCTCATCCATGGTGCCTTGTGACTTCCTCAGGGGTGCCTACATCACTTCCTGCATTTAGTGTCACTCTCCAGTGAGAAGCTGATGAAGCAGATCTCTGCTTCATCAGCTTCTGTCTGGGTCCCTAGGTGACATCGGAGGTCTTGGAGACCCCTGATGTCTCCATAAAGAGGACCTGTTTGGTGAACTGGCTATTACATAGGGGATTTCTTAATCCACTATGTTATAGCAATAAAGTTGTCTAAAAAAAAAATTACAGCATTAAAAAAAATAAAGGTAAAAAAAATATTCACAAATAATAATTAAAAAAAAAACACACGTTGCATGACGGAATAAACGTCAGTCAAAGTACCGCAGCGCTGAATACTGAAAAATGGCCTGGCCAGGAAGGGGGTGAAACACCCCGGTCTTCAAGTGGTTAAATGTCCTACCAGGCCATTATCTTGCATGAGTATCTGGTATGGATTGGCGAGGGGGGGTTTGCACACAATGCTTTTTACATTTCAGGTTTTTTACATTTTAGCCTGAGGTGCCTTGAGATTTTGCATACTTTTAAAGGGTGCCGTGACTGAAAAAATGTTGAGAAACTGGTCTATGGGAGCAGTGTAAAGGAATTTTATTTATCTGATCCCCGGTTCTGCAGGCTCCAAGTCTGGCCCCTGCAGCCTCTTTGCCCCGCAGTCGGAGGCACACTGCCATCCTCATGTACAGTGCATGGCCAATTGCCCTGCATCATAAGTGAAGAGGGCAAGGTGGGTGTCCACTGCTGAAGGAGAGGGGATCAGGGAGGTTAAATGTATTTTACACAGTTCCCCTAGACATAAACAGGCAGTTACTCCTGCACTGCAAGTTTTTGGGGGGGGAGTTTACCTGGAGATAGGCTTTTATTGCATTTTACATGTTGCTCAGGATTAGAAAGGATGCTTCTAGTGTTTACAACTTCTAATGATATTCTTGTGTTTTAATAGCGCACTTTTTCTGTCTTCTTTTTGGGGGGGATTCAGCTTTTAGAGTGTGGTGGAAACTTGTTTGATACCATATCCATCGGTGTTAAGGCAGCAGTATTTAATACAAGGTAAGAGCAATACAATTTGTACAGATTATCCTTAGTTTTTGTTTCTGCACACATTTTAATTTGTTTTGATTTGTTTTAAAGATTGAAAAAGATTTTCATTATTGTATTTACGTCTGTTTTCAGATAAGTCTGTTTATTTTAGTATATCTGATATGCTTGGTACTTTAAAATTGTTACTGATGAAGGTCATCAGTTTATTTATTTTTATGTTTTATACGTGTATTTTGTTTTAAGGTTTCACTTAGTTAGAAGTTTTTCTGTGTTCCTTTTCGGAATGTCTAAATTGCATAAATTAACTGCATTGTTTATTTTTCTTATTTAAAGTGATTATTGACCCCTTAAGGGACAAGCTTCAGATGCTTGTCTTTCAGTTAAGGACCAAAACAATAGTGCATGTGTCCACATTACAATCGAATTGCGTCATATATAATCTATACACATTAGGTACTAAAGATACCAAAAGTAATACAGTCCTCAAAGTTAGCTTGACATAAATACTCAACACGTTTCGTGATATTGCTTCTTCAAGAGTCCTTTGAATCCACAAATAGATAATGACATGTTAATGCCATGTGACATATCAGAAGATACATAACATTCATATTCTAATCACCGTCCAAGTACAACTCCATCTCTTTAGCCTACTTAACTAACAGTCTGTGGTCAATCAGCATCATCCGGCACCCGCAAACAAGGCGGGAAGGGGTGGAGCAGAGGGGAAAATGCAAAATACACTATTGCTTTATACGATTTTCTCTATATATCCACATAAACTTACAGATAAGGTTTGTGCTGTATTAATTTTGTGGTACAGTATTGTCATCTCTTCATGAATAATCTCAGTAGCTTTTGATTTGCTGTTTTGTGGAGTAAGAGAACATCAGTTGTAATATGGCAGGCAGGCAAAGCGAAGAATGCCTGTGATGTTCTACGGTGCCCTGCTGAACACTTGAAAGCAATAGAATCCACATGTTCTTCCTCGGAATCCCTTTGTTGTAGTCCTCGTTGGGATGGGTGTTTATCCAGTAGGCAGTGGGTGAAATTCTGAAATCTTGTGTTCTCCGGCATATGTGAAATACTGCACAACTGAAAGGATGGTGGAAGGCAAAAAATGTGTTTTCAGGAGTTGTATGCGTAGAACTAACTTTAGTTCCCCTTTATGACGTATTGCTACCTACTAAACATGTTTATTGTGGGAACAAAACACTTTTTTTTTTTTTTTTTTTTTTTTTTTTTTAAACCACAAAAAAGGTGATAGTGCAAAACCCTTGTTTTAAAGGGACACAAATGTAAGGACTAGATTCTTCACAGTTAGAGCTGTGAAAATGTGGAATAGACCCCCCCCAGGAGCTAGTTCTAGCGAGCTCAGTTAACTTTTTAAACATCAGGATTGGTAAATGCACAGAATATTACTGGATATTGAGTTCTTATAGGTATATTAAGCACCAGGGATTGTTGATCCAGGGAATATCCGATTGCCTTTTGGGATCAGGAAGGAATTTTTTCCCCCTGTTGGAGCAAATTGAACCATGCTTTTTATAGGGGTTTTTTTTGCCTTCCTCTGGATCTACACAGTGGGTGGGTAATTGAGGGCACAGCGTTCTGTTTAGGCTTTTCTTCTTTTTTTTTTTTTTTTATATCTATAGGTTGAACTTGATTGGACATGTGTCTTTTTTTTCACCCTGACTAACTATGTAAGGGTACATTAACAGAAGAGCCCCTAGTTCCCTTAAGAATCATACCGTGCCATCATATACAGAAATTGACTGGGTGTTAAAAAGAAAAACAAAAAAAATATATTGAGGAATCTCCATTTTGGCAGCTTAACAAAAATGTTAATTGCATTGCAAGTCACCTCATTAAACATGTTTACCTGCTCACACCATCAACTGCTAGTATAAAAGCTGTATAAAAATAAATGCTAGTGTGTCATCACCTTTGACGTCACCCGGTGACAGTGAGAAATAATGTGGTTTATTTGTATAAGGAAAATATGGATGTCTCCGTCTCTTACTAAATAGAGGGGTCAGGTGGAGTAGTCCAGTCATTAAAAAAAAAAAAACGAAAACCTTTTATATATAGTTTAACATATTCAATGTTTGATGTGTAACCAGGATACCTAAAGTGAGTGTTTTGGAAGATGATGAGGGAACTAAAGAAATCGAACTGTCAGATGATCCTTACGACTGCATGCGGCTCAATGTAGAAGGTGTCCCGTGTATTGTCACATTAAGCAAAGTAAGTATTCCTGCAATTTACATTTACATCTGTTTTTTTTTTTTTCTTTTCTTTCCACTGACCTGGAATGAGCAGTGGATTATAACTTCACGTGGTTTCTAGTGCACAGGAACTCCAAGCAACATCTAGAAATCATTAAAGGATAAGTGCACCAAAATTGATATTTTGCTATAGGTGGAACCTGGTTGGCAATCTTGTTTGTGTTGGATCTCCCTGCCATAATCCAGGACTCTTGTTACTCTGCACCTGATCATTTTGCATGTTGCTCACCCAACTGTGCTTGTTTCCCTTTTCTCTTGTTGCATTCCCCCCACAATGTAAAATAGAGTTTATGCTTACCACACCAGGTGAGAAAACCCAAGATCTCCATCACATGTATCTCTGCAATAAAGTACATGAGAGATATAAAAAATGGTCAGGTGGTTTATTATTTATCCAGCAGCTACCAAAAGCTGTGGTATCGGGACAGGGTGGACTGACCTTTTAAACATCAAATGCTATTCATGAAATTGTCCTAGTGTAATATAGTTAGAAAATACACTACATTTTGGCTTAGTATATGTTTCTATACTTCAGTGATTTTTTTTTAAAGCTTCTCACACTGCTTCTTTGTAAGGCAACCTCATCTTGTGTGTAACCATGTGACACATGCAGAATCACATGCTTACACACAATGGGTTGAACCTGATGGTCCTGTGTCTTTATTCAACCTCAAATACTATGTAAAGCGTGGGAATGAGGCTGCAGCTGACCCAATGGCATGTACTGGCTTGCTTATCTATTTACTAGCTTCAGTCAGTAGATGGAGCTCTAAAGAAGTCTTGGCAGCTGAAATCTTGGCTGTTATGTTAATACATTTGAATGACTTAGAGCAGTGGTTCTCAACCTTTGTAACTTCAGGACCCACATTTGTCCTTTAACACATTTGTCCTTTGGTCATTAAGTTGCGACCCAGGTCACACTGCACACACACATACAGTATACACTCCCCCAAAAAATGTTTTTTTTTTGTTTTGTTTTTTAAGATCCACCCTCCCTACCTTACGAAAACTGGAGTGGATCCTCGGCATGGAGTCCAGTGTGGGCTGCTGTGCTGTGACGGAGCGCCATCTGTGTGTGGATTGCTTGTACAACCCCCTTGCGTGCCCTTTACAGATGCCTGGAGCCAGAACGTGATGTCACTCTGGCACCGGAACCTCTACAGGACATGCCAGGAAGCTGTAAGCAATGCATGTATGGATAGAGCTCCCTCGTGGCCATAGCTTCATCCCACCCCACCTTAAGTTGACACTCGGCTCTGAGTAGCATATGAATGGCTGCTTGGCAAGAGAACTGACAGTGCTGCGCTAGGGGAAGGTTGAGAAGCATCTTGCCTACAAAAGTGGAAGGCACTCTGACCCACTGAACATGGGGTCGCGACCCACTTTTGGGTCACGACTCACCAGTTGAGAACCATGGACTTAGAGGAAGGACAAACTCCCCTCTGCTTTGCCAGCTAAAACATGATGTTTGCCATAATGTGCTAGCATGCACAGCATATTAGCACATTTTGACCGACTTACCTTGTAAGCTATCCCCTCCAGCGCTGCGATTCAACGCTCTCCTCCGTCACTAGGTCTTCCATTTTCACCTGGTCTTCTTTTCAGGTTCAGCCTCTTCAGCCTCTTTACTGACTATGCACAGGATCTTGCCAGGCTTGTGTACTTCCCTGCTAATGCGCAGTATTCTGACTCCAATTGTTGAATTAGTGATTTATCCCTTCCTGAGACCTCTAGGCCTGGCCTGTATAAGCAGATATAATCGCCCGCAGACAATCTTTATCAGATAGCTGAACTCACTAAATAAATTTTCATCCACGAAGATCTTTATTAAATGCAGCAGGTTACTGACAGACAACAGGATGTAGAAGATGGATGAAAAGGCGGTATTTCTAGGTCAAAAGATGATGATGCCTTCCTCCTCCATGAGAGCATGAATACATGTGGCCGGCAATATGGCCAAATGAGACCCATATGGAGAAGGAGTAGGAAATGCAGAAAAAAGAGGTGCATTAAATAAAATGACCACAAGATGACCGTATATGAACCAACTATACTACACACAATACATGATGACATACTAACCACATGAATACCTAATTCACAATAATATCAATATTAACTATTACTATGCATTCTCATTCAATAGCTTTGACAGCACACGCAGCTCAGTGCACCCACACACTGACAGGCAGTAAGGCATCAATTATGACCAGAGACATACAGAGTCTCTTGTCATGAAAACCCTACCTGTCAGCATTTTTTCTTTTTTCTAACTTCAACTTTAAGTAAACATGTCTCAAACCTGGTTAATTGGGCATATATTGCAAACTGCATCTTAAAACGATCAGCAGATCCCAAGATCTATGTAGCTGAGGTTGAGCTTGGCCCAACCCACTCCCCTTCCTATAGATCAGTAGGTGGGTGGGAGGGAGGGATGTGGCTGAACTCTGATTATAAAAGAAAAAGGTCAAGCCAATGTAAAGTCAACTTCCTCTATCTGCATATGTCAGTCCCTTTTAACATTCAGCTTTTTAAAAAAAAGATAAGGTTTGCTTATGCGTTATTTTCAGTTCAAATTTCTGAGGTTTGCAACAGGCTTACGTTAACTTTATGTACTGTGCTTTTTCAGTCCAGCAAGCTAGGCTAAATCGAAGCACAGACATGAGGTAATCATGGTTCGATTTAGTCAATGCAGACAGCCTAAAATTCCTTTTCCTTTTTATATCCTATAAACGTGTTCTTGGCCCATAGACCTGCAGCGGGCACTGCCTGCATATTTGTTTTCCGTCCTATGCCTGTGGCAAATGTTTGGGTTTTAAGCTGTTTTATAGATGCCAGTCAGTTTCTGTATTGGAAGAAATATATATTTTTTGTTTTTAAATCCTTTTTTTTTTAAAAGGTCTTACTTTGTTTTCTACAGATAGGTCACCGACATGTGGTAGATGCCACCCTGCAGGAAGAGGCCTGCTCCTTGGCCAGTGTACTTGTTGCTATAAACAGCAAAAGCACCCTGACTTGCATGAGAAAAATGGGCAAAGGAAGCTTGGATCCTGAAAGCATCTTTGAGATGATTGAGGTAAAGACGTTCAAATATAATTCTGTGAAATACTATACGTTTCATACTTCCATACCGGCATATCCTAAATCAAGTAGTAGTTAAAGCGGCACTAATACTCCAGCTGTCACTTATTTCTAGTACCTTCTGCCAGAATAGCGCACCTCGAAAGAGCTTGTGGGACTGACCAACATTAGTTCCTAACTCCAGTGGTTGTCCTCACGGAGAATGAAAGCACCACTCCATTAGTATGTGTATAGTTCTACTTTGTGTTCAGTTAAATTATCCGTTGTCTTTCGGGGGCTTTATGAATCCTCCTTCATCAGGACTGGGGTATTGATCAGGACTGGGGTATTGATCAGGACTGGGGTATTGATCAGGACTGGGGTATTGATCAGGACTGGGGTATAATAGGTTAAAGTCATGTCAAGTTATGTGACACATAAAATGCTAACATGGCACTGGAAGATGCCTGTTCCAGCTCAAGTAATGCTGCATCTACTAGCCGAGTGGGTATTCCACTTTTTTCTTTGATTTGTTAAGGATTGCCTTAAAGCCCCCTTAGGAATAAAGAACTGGCCAGTCTGTGGGAGGAGTTTGATATTTTGACAGCAGGTTTAGAAAAATATATAATAAATACAGGATAATGGCATAACTGAAATCTGAATTAATAATTATTATTTTTTCTGTTGGACATTCTATTCACAGTGCCATAGCGGAATAGGTCCAGGATGCAGTTCTCATGATTAAACTGGAAATGGACATTGGGCAGATGACTGGTGTTCCTAATGGAGACATCAGGAGTCTATTAGACCCCTAATGTCTCTCCTGTCAGACTGTGCTGTTTACCGGCTTTTCAGCTGGGATTTTGACAGATCTGAACTGGCAAATGCTCAGCACTTCCAGGTTAACACTCTGCAGAGGACATCAGGAAATGGATGTTAATATCCTTAATATCCTCTCACTCACCATCCTGATGCTGCATGCTGTGCTTCCATGCTGCCAGGAGGAGCTGGAGAGCCGGGGAACCACGGAGGGTTGGCACAGTCCCAGTACTGTAAAGGTGATCAGGCGGCTCTACAGCTGCCCATATCACTTTTACCTAAATTCTGGAGCCTGCTGAGAAAGATACATGCTCAGCTTGTTTTGACTTTTTCGATTGCTGGGCATACAAGACACGCCCAGAGAGCTCCGCTGGTTAATTATTGACCATCTCCTGGAAATGCTGGTTACCTGGTCATCACTGCTTTGAGCACTTTGCAGTTACCGACTTTAAAGGAGAACTATGAGGTGAATGATTTCCACTCAATTTCATAGTTCGAGCCGACGTGTGACAATGGAACTGTCACATGTTGGCTCAATAGATCGGGAAGTGAGCGAACACATACCGTCGCTCGCTCACTTCTCGATCATGTCCTTGCAGAGAGCCCTGACTGTCACTCACGGCTCCCTGCAGGGATTTCCCCACTCCGATCCTCCAGCGCTGACTGGCGGAACGGACGGGGGAGGAGGCGGGTACAGCTGGCTCTGCCTCTAGATAGGCAGAGCCAGCTGTTAATCACGCAGCTGGGTGGATCTCGACAGTAATGTCGGGATCCGTCCCAGCTGCGGCGGTCTCAGTATACCGCAAGCTGTAGCTCGCGGTATACTGAGCTTTGGGTGACGGGAGGACGCTAGTTTATGTCCTCCCGTGACCCTTAGGAAAACTATGGGGAAAAACACTTACCCCATAGTTCTCCTTTAAACATGCATGCTAGAATCAAGAAGTCTTGATTTGCATTATGGTTCCTGTTCAATGATGCAGAAAGTATTGAAATATTACATCAGTATGACAGACAGACAGACAGACAGACAGACAAACAATGTGCATTTTCATGACTTAAAGGATATATATCACCAATCGCAGTCATTGTTTTGCCCCAAGACAGGTTTGCTTTAACTCAGTTTATGTTCACACCATAAGGGAGGTTAGAGTTCTCATAAATATTGAAAATGGACAGCAGCTACTGCATAATGTCTCATTAATGCAATCATTTTTCTAAATTAAAACAGAATTATTTCCCACAGTTTTCACATAACATGAATATTCAGTGACAACATTTCTCATAGAGTTCTGATTTTGAACCAGGTCACTGTATAATAAATCAGACGCACTGTAATATATCCATGCCTTTTGCATTTGGCTACATTTATATTATTCAAATGAGCTATAGACCAGCTAGAAAAATGGTGTCAGGTTGAAAATATTTGCCAGCTCTTTCAGTAGTTTGTATGGGAGGTAATCGCAAGACATCCATACATCTCTATAGAATCAAATTGTATTTTCAAGGGGATCTGAGCTGTGGAAGCTGTGCCCAAGGAGGCAAGCACATGGCAAAGGACTAGTCACCAGTATTGCCCGTAGGATCCCTGCAGCTCATGTTTTCCCCATTACTGACTTACCATGCCCTGGTGTGCGTTTGTGTGGAGATGGCCATCTTGGTAGAAGCACAGGACCAAGAGTAATACTTGTGGAGAAATGGAAAAATACTCTTAGTTTGTCTTTATTTCAGTTGTGCTCTTTATTTCTTATTGTTGAGCTTTGGGAATTTGTGACATATAATCTTTTTATCATTTACAGACAGGAAAACGCGTTGCAAAGTCCCTGCACTCCTCCCTACAGAGTGTGTTAAACCAGGAGGAAAGTATGGGGAAAAAGAGACAGAAAATTGGTTTCCTGAGGTGATCTGTTAAAACATTTTGTGTTTTTTTCCAATAATAAAGAGTTATTTTTACACACGAATTCCCCTTTTTAAAGGGAAACTGTTTTGGAGTCGATTTTTATTTTTTATGTTTCTTATTTTACTCCTGATGTTTGACATCTGTTTTACTACTTAGACAATCTTTGAGCTTTACAAATAAACATTTAATATATGACAAAGGCTTTCCAGAGAAAGTGTGATAGCTTAAGAGACAAGAGCGTTTACCTGCCTTCTGGCTCTGTTTGCTTACTAAGCTGTAATACAAGTCGGTGATTATTAGTCATTCATGTTTGTATATTGCAGCTTGAGCTATCGAGCCCGTAAACAAAAGGCGCTTGTCAACAAGCTGTAACTAGAGATAAATGCATGAAAAGGGGTCTAAAGCTCCACATACTGACTCAAAAATAAGATGAAAAATGTAATGTGCGATATTTCATGTTTCCTTTTATTTCTTTTTTTGTCCTGGTTCTACTAAGGAAATTATGTATAAAACCACTACACACTAATTTTATAAGTTTCTTTTATTATTGTGGTTTTATGAAGTTTACATATTAAACTGCTGATTACCATTTACGTTTCTGGCTTTTCAGCTGGGGCTTAATTTACGCTTTCTGCGTTAAGGGACGGGAGGGGGCGTGGCGGCTCCCCTCAGTGCCTGGGGAACGGTCCAGTGCGATCTGAAAAAATTATTGCATGCATCATTTTTTTTCAGATCGCACTGGACCAGAACGCAGACACTGATGTGCCACGCGTTCTGGTGCGACGATCGCACTGCGGGCAGGGGGCGTGGTTGCGTTGCCATTGTCTTCAACGCACTGCCACGCTCCTGAACGCAGGAAGCCGGCCCGGATGAGCTCCAGTGCGTTCCAGCAGCGAATCGTGCTGAAATGCACTGGAACTGGTGTGAAGCGGCCCTGAATGAACATGCAAAACTTGTTTTGTATCCCACCCCCACTGCTGATTAGTGGGGTTCTTCCTACTTAGGACGCAGCCAAATAGCTGTTATAATAAGGCTTTTGGTGTAGCTCCAAGGTAGATGCCTCTTGCAGAGTTTGAACTCTATTGTGTGCCTGGGGGGGCCAAGCCACATATTTCAGTTAAATGGCAATGTTTTCTAGGCCAGGCTGCACTATATCCAAGAAAGCCACACTGGTATCACATCTAAAAGCTTTTCATCTCTGTTCAAACAACTCATTTTTATGGAATTGTGACAAGCAATTCATTCAGCTTATCATTCTTTACCAAAAACTTAAAGGAGAACTATGACATGAGTGATTTCCACTCACCTCATAGTTCTAAGCCGACCTGTGGCAATGAGACTGTCACAGGTCGGCTCAGTAGATCGGGAGGTGAGCGAACTCATACCGGGTTCCCTCACCTCTCGATCCTGTCACGGCTCTCTGCCGTGACAGGGGAGGGGCTGGATTCCCCTCTCCCCGCTCCGATCTGCCAGCGCTGACTGGCAGAACGGACGGGGGAGGGGGCGGGTACAGCTGGCTCTGCCTCTAGATAGGCAGAGCCAGCTGTCACTCACGCAGCTGGGCGGATCCCGTCATCTAAGTCGGGATCCGCTCCAGGTGCGGTCGTCTCAGTATACCGCGAGCTGTAGCTCGCGGTATACTGAGCTTAGGGTAACGGGAGGACGCTAGTTTGTGTCCTCCCGTTACCCCAAGGAGAACTATGGTGAAAAACACTGACCCCATAGTTCTCCTTTTAATTTTGGTTGTAGTAAGCTGTTGATTTTGCATTTCTGTTACAAGTCAATGACTCTGACATTATTGAAGCCAGTGGGTCAGTGTTATAGCCGGTCAACTAGCATCATTAGAAGGTAGGGTCAGCAATGGGAGTCTGATGGCAGGTTTAAATAAATTGCTGTTCAGCAAGACCTGTATGTTCTTGCTCTTTAGAGGCTGTGTAGGCTCCCAGGAAATGATGTACAGGTTGATCCCTGAATATTACCTGCTGCTTTTAACATGATTGTTTTAACCAACACATTCTGAGAGAGAGATTGACTTGGATCCTTATGAGAGGGGATTAGATCATTTGGAGGTAAAGTAGCAACACAGTTGAGTACTGTCCATGATACTTTTTCTATTTGCGCTTCTCTAAAGAGTTTGTTTGAGCGCTGTGTAATATATCTATTGTATTAATTGATAGATTTGCCCTAAGTTATGGATCAGACAGCTGCTAGGAGTTCTATAAAGTCACTATTAGCGTTGTCTTTATACTTATTTAAGTGTACTAATGTGGCTACAATTGCCTTGGATAGAGTAGAAAACCTCTCCGTCATCTGTGTAGTTTTTGTATCCATTATAGTAATTACTGATGACATTTATTTTTGCACAATATTATCACTGATTATCATTTATGCTCCATTCCTGCTTCTGTGAATATAACAGTTTTTAGTCTGACACTTCAGCAAAGACTGTGACTTTTCTTATTGGTGCTTCAAGGTGATAGAGGCCATGTGCTTTTTTCCCTGCTGCATGCAAATACTTGATAATGTACTCAGACCTGTGAATATTCATGATGTAAGAAAGAATCTCCAAACACTTGGGAAATTTGGTGTTCGGTGATCCTGAAGGAGAATAAAGAAAACCTGTCATAAGACAAGTGCTGTCTTTGCTTTTGAAAATACCTGCTGGCTGGATGGAATTCTGATCCTCTGGCTTCAGTGCTTTCTTAGTCACAGATGCGGAACAAGTTCTGACGTTACTTGGTATGTGCTTGTTTTGGGTAAGTGACTCAAAGTATTGAAGCCAGAGACAGCCAGGCAAGTATTATTTTCAGACGTAGGTCAGCAAAGTTCAAACTTAGCCAGCTCGCACTTGCTTGAGTTTAGGCGGAATGCCCTGAGTGCAACACCTTCTCTATGTAATATTTCTTTGCACAGTGAAATCTCATTAGCTTCGATACTAGTGTCTGATGAATTAGAGTAGGAAATGGGTTTGCCCCTTGGGGATACTTTCCTTCACTTCCTGTCCTGGAGACACAAAGGTGAGGGGAAATCAACTCTTGGACAGTTGTCACCTGAGGAGGTGTAGGCTTACTTGGCTACTTTGGACTCAGGGGGAACAAGGCAACTACTCAATTCTATTCATACCTCAGTCTTTTTTCTTTTGCTCTTTATGGCAGTACAAGGAGACAGAGGCTTTCTTCCTTCCTATACAAAGCTAACACGTACTTAGAACTCTAACCAATCACTCAAAACCCCCTTGAAGACGGGTCTGTTTTACATTATCACATGTTTTTCTATATCTTTGGAAAACTGTTCGAGGTTAGGGGTGTTTAAAACATGGTCAAGCCCTGACCCAGCAGTCTCACATTGGGTAGGGAATTGATGCAATAATCTTCCTAGTAGAGTGGCATTCTTTAACCTTATTTGAAACCCCTTTGTGTAACCATCAGATAATGATGTGCTATGCTGAGTGACTACAGTACCCCAGAGACAAGTTTGCTACCTTATGCCACATGTAAGATGGCTGCTCTACATTGGAGCTCACACTGCCCTTCGTTGTGGAGGGTGGCTACTTTTGTTCCCTGTGTGTGTGTGTGTGTGTGTGTGTGTGTGTGTGTGTTTTAAAGAAACCACCACTCAAAGCTTGCCCGGTGATTGACTAAAATCTCAATACAAATTAGTAAACTAAACCTGAGATCATGAGAGTGAGCTTGGAGCGGTGGAAACTTTACAACACACACAGGAGCCATGGGGTACAAAAATAGCCACCCTCCAGAAGGAAGGACAGTGTCCGCACAAATTCAGAGATGATTTGGGGATCTACAGCCGAGTGACACACAAATAAGATACATTTTTGTTTACAGTTTAGGTACTTGAATGCATTTCTAAGGATGAACTCATGAGTTTAGTGTCACTTTAAAAAAGGCAGAATGTGCCTACAAACTTCTGGAGAATTGATGTGGCCTGTCACTGGTGAAAAATGTCCGAAAGGACCTTTCTGCTTGCAGTTGACTAGCTCTGGCCAGTAAGGGTCTTGTGAAACTTTTGGCCTGAAGGCAGCACCTACTGTACATTAGAGATTCAACGCCATTGTAAAGAATAATAGGCTTCAGGTATACACTGGCATCAGGTGGTTCAAGCAGCCCCCACCCATGCCAATACTATTAATACCTTACCTGCATTAGAGACATGGCTTTAAAGGTACTTGAATGCATTATTAATGTTTAACTCCTGAGTGTAGTTTGACTTACTTACCCCCTTTTCTCCTATCAGAACTCTTGTATGAAAGATTTTAGAAAAGGATGATATATGGCCATTTTCATTTAATAAAGATTTAGTAGTGAGACATTTTGTGTAGCTAGTGGCCTGTTCAATCCTCCCTTATTAAGCTAACTCGGTACACATATGTGAATGCTGTTTTTAGAGATCCGGAAGGAATGGAATATTTTTACAATGCCACATGTGTTGGCAGCAATCTCCCAAGTGACGCTAGTTTGTCCATTAATGGCAACTACATTTGGTTTAAATAAGAAAAAACACAGTTTATATCAAGTGGATTGTAAGGCATTGACTGCTGCGCATGTGCATGGTGTGCACCACAATATGTGTGTATTATGTGGGGGGAGGGAGGGGTTGTGCTTTTTATTTATTTATTTTTTACACATTTTTTTATTTTTTTAAATAATTTTATATTTCTTTTTACTGTTGGGAGGGCTACGGTGAAATCTCTGGGGTCTAAACAGACCCCTGACATTCCCTTTTGAAATAGAAAAAGAAATTGAGGACACCAAATCCTCAATTTCTTTTTCTGCAGCCTCAGCACTCAATGAATGGGAAGCACTCAGTACAGAGGCTTCCCCACTGTACATTTAGCCCTGCTTGCCCAAAGCAGGGCTAAATGTAGAAAAAAAACTGCCCACCCGGTACCTGGAACTGCATGTACCTAATTCGGGTGATAGGAATTCCACACCCCAGCTGCCCCTCTACTCCCTGCTGCCCCAAGGCCGGGCCTTGGTGGCCTTGTGGGAAATCCGGCCCTGTTTATTGGCCTCTGAGGCACCCATATTGGATTGTGAGAACATAACTGCCACAACAAATTCCCAGAATGTATTGTACTCTCCGGTTTGCCTCCGATCTTGTAACAATCTTGATCTCAGGAACAATAGCAAAGACTGAATTAATTATTGCTGTTCGTTTTTTTAATGGGGGCAGATAGAAACTAAAGTGTGGACAATTACTATACTTTCCAGATGTTTATTTGGACCATTGTGCTGCACTTAAATACTTGTGCTAATCTTATCTTATCTTCCACCACTTTGATGCAACCTATATAACTTTTTTTAAAGGCTTTATATGCAATAAATGCCAATTTTAGAGCTATCTCTTTCCATAACATCTGGTCCAACTCAGCCTACCACCCTCCTTCCTCACCTAATAGTATTTAAAAGCAAACATCACATGACATAGAAAATGATTTAACCTACAGTACTGTGCTATAGTTTTAGGCAGCTGTGAAAAAATGTTGTAAAGTAAGAATGGTTTCAGAAATAAAAGTGTTATTAGTTTATTTGTAGCAATTAAAATGGAAAGTAAATGAACAGAAGAGAAATCCAAATCAAATCAATATTAGGTACACACAGTTTTTGAAGGAACCTGGCAGGTAGGTTGTTCCAAACATCTTGGAGAACTAAGCACAGCTCTTCTGAGCTGTCACAGGTCGGCTCTATTGATCAGGAAGTCAGCAAACACATACCACCAATTACTAACTTCCCGATACTCTCCTCGCAGGGATTCCCCCCCCCTTCCCTCTCCGTTAATTCTGACTGCCAAAATGTGATCAGTACACGGCCAGATTAAAGTTGGGTATACAGGGTTCTGTTTTTTTCGTTCAACCTGCGAGATGCACAAAAGACATAGAACAGATTCCTCCATCCTCGCTTACTAGCATTGATGGACAAATCCCCTGCTGCTGCTGCATTGTATTCTGAAAAGCAGCTGCTGGATGATGTCAGAATGCTCATACGGAGATTGCAGCCCATTGGCCCAAAGCTCCGTTTGGCTGAGAATTTTCCAAGCTTCGATCAGCTGACAGCAGCACCCATGGTACGTATTTTGGCCAGTTCATCAGGAAACTGATTCAATTCAAACCATGTGTACCCGACTTTAGTCTGTGCCCACCCCCATAAATGCTGCTGTACCCAGAAACGGAAAGTGCCTTGACCAGGTAAGTAACAGAATCCATTGAATTAGTCATGATCTTATTTAGGCTGTATGTTTGACTTAATATGCAGTGAAAAGGAGTTTAGAGGTGAGACACACACATTGTAATGCTATAACAATGACTCCTGAAATGTTATTCTAGAGCTCTATGTTCAAGTATGTATTCAAAAAATGATCTTAACATAAGGAAAATAATTATTAAAGTGCTTTTATAGACGGAGAATGTAGAATTGTCCGTTAGACCAGACCAGACAAAATGAGACATGCAGTATTTTTCTGGTCTGGTCTGGTCTGGAACGGACTTCGCTGGTGTGAATAGAGGCCAGAAAAAGCATAGGGATACATTAGGATGCATTTTGGGTCCGGAAACAATCTGGTCTGGTCTGGAAATGATCTGGATTTGGTGTGAATGGGCCCTTAAAAAAGGGGCTGTGCAAAGTTATGTTTACCCTATTTAACTCAAATGAACCCTGTCTGTACTGTGCTGTCAGTTTCAATTATCTGTTGTAAACTAAATCTGAACATTGTTTGTCCCAACAAAGGGTTAAAGAATTAGAGTCAATGTATGTTAATGAGGGAAGCTGCAGTCTGTCACTTAGTTTGTCCCTCTGCTTTTACGTTCAAACTGCTCATAGTAGCCTGAAACCTGCACGAAGGGCTTCACCAAAGAAATGTCTAAAAGGAAAGAAGAAACTAACTAATATATATCTATATATAGATATATATATATTTTAGTTATGTTAGATATGCTGCGTGATTAATACAAACATACGTTGGGGTTTTCTCAAATTTGACTACTGGAACTTTGAAGTATCTTCATTCTAAAATAACTGCAGCACTTCTGTTTGCCAGTAATGATCAATAGATTTCTTCCCTAAAATTATTGATAGACTTCATTAGATTTAATATTGTTTTAAGATGTCTAATCAAAGTTTCTAACTTCTTATACCATAATACTAGCATGATCCAAACCTTTTTTAAACAGGCATATTTGTATTATAATGCCTATTGCTAGGCTTTGCAGAGGTCCAGGAATGCTTTGCTCATGATGTGGAAGGAGTTCCTGAACAGATGTTTTTATTATAGGCGTATTTAATAAAGTGCAGGAACAGAGTGTACTTCAAACAGTGCTTGTGATCGCCATGGAGTACAAAGTAGCCTGCCTGGTGCTGTGTCTCTTCTGCTGTGTCCAAGTCACCATTCAGCAGAAGAAGCAGAGACATGCAAGTAAACCAGGTAAGCGACACGCTCATAAATCAACTCTCCTAAATTCTTCTTGACTGTTGCAAGAGCACAAAATTAACTTTTAAGTGCACGCGGTAAATAAAATACTGTAAACTCCCCGTTATCCGGCATCCACTGGGATTTGTAGATTCTGGATAAATGTAGTTTCTGGTTGCATGAGATTTACTATTAAAAATAGGTCTAACTAATGCCATACCACATACTATAACATAGCATAACATAAACTCTGTATTGGCTTCATATTAATATTGAAATGCAGTAATCAAAAGCAAATTAAGACAAATAGACACACTTAAAACAAATTAAGACACAGAGGCACACGATCGCTTTCAGGATAATACATGCCGCAGAACAGTGAGTACACAGGGGATATTTTTTCTGGTTAGATGAGAGTTCTGGTTAGTTGAATATCGGATAATAGAGAGTTTACTGTATATTGATTTGATTCTTTTATGTACTTTTGATTCATATTGGTTATTTGTTTTCAACATATGTTATAAATTGAATATATTTATTTACCATAACCAAAAATTATGAAATTGCTAGAACTGTGCATGCAGCCAGTGAAGTCTGAAAAGGTTGTACTCATACCCTGCATGCTTGATCCAGGTCAGTATATTGCTATGTAGGAAAGCAAGGATCAGAATGACAGCTCTGGAGCATGCACTCTTATGTATGAAAGAGTCAACAATGACCTCTCCTATATTTGCTATTTAGTAAAGCACGGATCAGAATGACAGCTCTGGAGCTTGCACCCTCATGTATGAACAGGTCAACAATGACCACTCCAATATTTGCTATGTGGTAAAGCAAAGATCAGAATGACAGCTCTGGAGCTTGCGCCCTCATGTATGAACAGGTCAACAATGACTTCTCCAATATTTGCTATGTATTATAGCAAGGATCAGAATGACAGCTCTGAAGCTTGTGCCCTCAGGTATGAACAGGTCAGCAATAACCCATCCAAAATTTCTGTCCTCCTAGCTTCCCTATAATTCAACTAATCACATTTTACTAAACGTTCCTACAACCAGAGAGTGCATCACTGAGTGCTGCATCTGGAATATTCAGCACTTACAAATATTTCTTCCCTTTGCAGCCAAAATGAAAAATGGAACGTTAACCCTTTGAAGTAGCCGGGGGCAGCAGATGAGAGTGCTGATGTAGCAAGCTGCTGATCTCTATAACAGCTCATGCAGTTCGGTTCTTGTAACATAAAAAGGAACTACAGCTACAGTTTATAAAGCTCTTTTTAAATCTGTTTTTGGTCATTATTTTCCTCTCAATATTCAGCAGAGTGTTGTAACCATAGGGCCAAGGGAAGGCTCACTGATGCTAGTGATGTTTGATTCTATTTCAGCAATAATTTGGATAGACAGCAGAGGCGGGCTTAAACAGGCTGAAAATGATCTTGGAAGATAAATACCATAATTATGAAAATAAGTATTCTTGGTGGAAAACCCACTAATCACAGTTTCAGTGTCTGAATAACCACCTATCTGCAATTGCTAGCATTTATCTTTGATCAGAAAAACAGTGTGTAGTTGAAGGGGTGGTATCCTATCTCTATCTGGCTTCACTTTATTTGATGATGAGTTATGTTTTGCTATTTATATGCTTTCAGTTTTGACTAACAAATATGACTAGCACCATTTTGAGTATCTCCTGCCCCTACACCAACTAGCTGTATGTCAATACATTGTAAAATGTTTTGTCAGTGATATATAAATACATATTCTTAGCTTCATATAAGCTAAGGATGTACATGTATGAATAGATTCCAAAGGTGACCTGTTTTTAACCATTAAAGGAGAACTATGGGGTTAGGGCTTTTCCCCATAGTTCTCCTAAGGGTCACGGGAGGACACAAACTAGCATCCTCCCATGACCCAAAGCTCAGTATACCGAGACCGCCGCAGCTGGGATGGATCCCGACATTACTGTCGAGATCCACCTAGCTGTGTGATTGAGTGCCTATCTAGAGGCAAAGCCCAGCTGTACCCGCCCCCTCCCCGTCCGTTCCGCCAGTTAGTGCTGGAGCATCGGACAGGGGAGGGAGGGAAGTGATAGTCACGGGTCTCTGCAGGGACAGCATCGAGAAGTGAGCGAGCGACGGTATGTGTTTGCTCACTTCCCGATCTATTGAGCCAACGTGTGACAGTTCCATTGTCACACGTCGGCTCGAACTATGAGGCTAAGGGATTTTCCCTCAGCTCATAGTTCTCCTTTAAGGAAATTCCTTGGGACAATGCAACTCATAAAAGAAATGGCTAAGCCCGTCTCCGCTGTTTAGCTAGTTCTTTTCAAAAGGAAATTGTAACTGTTAACAGGAACAATAAATGACAAACTCTTCCTGCGCTAACTATATTCAAAAGGGGATGAAATTGTAGCCAGGTGTTAATAGGACTGATAGGATGTATGTGTTTGCAGTTGCATACCAAATGGGTAATTTTTAATTGTTTACTGGGATACAAACTGCAGTTTGGTGCAAGAGTTGTAAAAATAATAATTTGTCCTTAAATGATATGGGACATATGTGTCAGGAAGAGTCTTAGGCTTTTCGAAGGAGAATCTGGTTATACAGTTGTACAGATGTCATAGGACTATATGGCAAATAACAGCTGGAAGCCTTTCAAAAGGAAAACCTTTGTCATATGGTAGGAGGGATTAAGGTCCGTTCACACGCTATCCATTGCGTTCCATCACGGTTCCATGCCCTGAATGCACTGTATCGCATAAACCAAGCCTCCTGCATTTTGAGGCAGGAGGGGGTGTGGTGGTGGCATTCTAGCCAATTGCACTGCAGACAAGCCTCCCGCCCGCACCAGAATGGGTGGTACAGCATCGCCCTGTGTTCCAGTGCAGTGTGATCGCAAAAAATAGTTCATGCACTTTTTTTACTATTGCGATCGCACTACAGGTGGGAGGTGTGCTGGAACACACTAGATAGCATGTGAATGGGCCCTCAAGGACTACTGTTTGTTAACAATAAGATCAAGAGTGTTTCTCTGGTCAACCAATCAGCTTCTTCCACATATTAGTGAATGAGTGAAAATGAGTATAGCAAGGAAAGATTGGCTCGTAGGCTATTGGTGGGGTGTGGCTAATGTGGCGGTGTGATAATAAATGCAAAATTGCTCTATATGCAGATGATTCTCTGATATTTTTAGCGGACACCTCTTCCTCTCCCGTTGCTCTTTGAGTTTGGCAGGCTTTCAGGTCTCAGAGTCAATTGTGAAAAGTCTACTATTTTCCCCATAGACCCTTTTAGTAGCTCCACTGCCTGCCACGGCCACTCATATTTAGGTGGTGGATTGTTTGCCTAATTTTACTTTATCTATGGGGATAGCAGGGTGTAGTGAATGTGAGTGATGTAATGTGAGGTGGTAATGCTTACAGGAGGGTTGGATCTTCACTTCTGCATGAAAGATAACATATTTTAACTATGGCTTACCTATGACGTCTTTGACTTTCATAACATGTTTCAGATGGCCAGTAGTTGGGATAAACAGATACGAATTGGTTGTTCATATGTGCCTGCTATAGATATTCTAACAGGACAGTTAGGTACCGTAAGATGTCTATTAAATATAGCTAAAGCTTTTTTTCAATTTTTGTAATGTTTTAGAACATTTATAAGTTGATTTATTGGAAATACAAGCTTTATAACTGTAGGAGGTCTGTGTTTTGGATTATCTTCTTTAGCTTTTACTTATCTTAATGAAATCCACACAGATAGACATAAATTTTACCAACATTCTAAGAACACCCTTGAAGCCTACCAGATGTCTTACTGAAAAGGAATGTGAGGAAGCACAAACAGACTAAAAGGTCCTAATGATGTGGAAGATGCATTGCCAGCCAACATATGAGTCAATAACTTTCCACTTTAAATGCCATTTATTTAGCATTGCCAGTACTGGTCTTACAAAGTTATATAACCAAATATCAATTGTTTAGATATTTTGCATTCAAATTTATTTTTCCTTATTATAATTGCAGTAAAGACAAAAGCAGCAACCTTTTCACAGGAACCATAGAGGCCACTGTCAGAGTACCCGAATGGAGTTTGCAGCTGACTGGTTGCAAGCTCCATTTGTCCGAAGATTTTCCAACATGTTCCTTTGGCAAAAGTTGATCTAAAGATCAACTTCAGCTGAAGGAATAGGGTCACCAATGCAGCGAATTTCAGCCAAAATTTCCTGCGTGTGTAGTCAGCTTAAGTAGTTGTACTAAACAATACCCCCACCCCCCCCAGCATTGGTGGTCAATAGCTGGCTGGAACAATACCCCCCCAGCAATTGTGATTGGTGGCTGGCTGGAACAATAACCCCCCAGCATTGGTAATCATTGGCCTAGCAGCACAGAGCTGCCTTCGCCAGCCTCCCTCCTCCAGCATCTGAATGGATACGTGACAGAGGCTTCTTACAGTGCAGAGTGATGAAAGGCAGAGAGCGGTTTAGTAGCTGGCGCACCACTGCCACTCTCTATAGCACCAGGCCATCCTTTAAGTGGTGGTTTGCCAGTACAGACCACACCCCCCTAGGTATGCCATAGTCCTAATGTGTGCAGTAAGTGCACTGTGGGCCCCATCTACCTTAGTGGCCATGTGTACTGCACACATTAGGGATATGCCAGTGGGTGCCATTCAGAACAAAAGGGCACTGCATCACACCAATGCAAGAAATGCAGATTACAGTATGTTGTGGTAACACAAGTATTACTGCAGTGCATTGGTGTGAATGATCCCTTTATTATAAACAAATTGGCATGTTGTGAATGTAGGCTTTAAACTACATAACTTATCCTTCTCTATTTTAGGTTATTAATTTACCATATTTTTGTTCTCTTCTATACTGTAAGTCACATATTAATCTCGGCTGCAATTTACCCCTGTGCTTAGTTTTCTGTATTAACTGACCCAATTTTGAAAGGAAGTGCAGCAAAATCATAAATATCTCCATGATTTGAAAAGATAAGCTGTTGACATAGGAAACAGGACAAATTTAAGATTTGTGTATTCTCCCAATTTTTAAGGTTCGGGAGAGCACATCAATGTATAAAATACGGTCAGGCACTTCTCAAAGCATTATGAATGTCTCACATAGCACAAACGTTAAAGAATCAAATCACCTATCACTGACTACACTGTTTACAAAGGTGTGTTTTAAAATGAATGCATAGCAGTTTTGTACAAAATATATCTTTCTACCTTTATTATAGCCAAGACTAAAAAAAAAAAATTAAGTATGAAATAGGTTTGTTTTTTTTATCTACGGTATAAATGCGTATTAATATTTTGTATTCTCTATTTAAGGCAGCAGGTGGAGCTTTAGGATTCTTTTAACAGTTTACAGGCTCTCTGCACATGAAGCCCATTGATTACACGACTCTGAGTCAGAGCTTTTTCCAGTGACACATACCTTATGAAATGGCTCAGTCCAAAGTTTCAATCAGACAAACTGTGCCTCAAAGCAAGTTTTAAATGCCGTGTTGTCTATTTAGCTAACCCATAATGACGTGGGAATTTGATGTCATGTAAGAAATGCTTCTGTAAAACAAAGACAACATGTACAGTAGACAGTGAAACAAACAGTTAACGTAAAAAAAAACTGACCCTTGAAAGATGCACATGTCTAACAGAATTAGAGATGGGGTAGGACACAATGGGCCTGGTATTAACTACACTCTATGATATCCTGATTCATAACTGGTAAAATGTATAATGTTGTGAGAATACATGTATATAAAAGATCGATTGACCAGTCGGCCTTCAAAGCAACATTATGTAGCAAATAGCAATGAAAAGAGAACATTTATGGAAATGATTACATTAAAATCACATAATTAAGAAGATGTATTGGTTTATTCAGCAATGTTAAGATTCATGATGTGCATCATCAATCTTAATAATGAATTTATAGTAATAATAGCAGGTTTTTTTTCTTCAGTCTTATTCAGTAAGCCCAGGACTCATTGCCTCTCCAAGAGAAGACTGTTTAATGTAAAGGTCATTGAGAAATTTAAGTTGATTTACAAAAGTCTTAGACAGTTTACTGTGCAAAGTGAGAGTTAACTTTAAATATTCCCAGAGCTTAGTAAATAAGAATAAGCTGGTCACTTCAATCATCCTATCTTATGCTAACAAAAATCCTATTTTCCTGACATCTGCAAGGCATCTCACTAACGGGTTAGCCGCACCTACTGGATGACTCCATAGGACCATTTAGCTATAAATGTTTGATCCCCTCACAGACTCATGTTCCTTTTTTGTCCCCCTCCTTTGACCGTTTTCCATGTGTAGGTTGAATACAAATTGGGATCTCATTACCGGCTGCAATATGATTGCAGTGTTTCTTTGAGTAAACCCCCATGTAATGCCTCTGAAGTAGCAATGATGGACTAAGGCCAGTTTGGAGGCTGAAATGCATTGGCATTTGTCTGTAGGCTGCTTTTATGCCTTTTTGTATATAAAGTTTTGAATGGACAGACCTCCTTAGGGTGGCATTGTTTTACGTATTGTTGAGTGAAGGCTCTGGCGGAAGCTTTACCAGGCACTGAGGTTCCAGCGGTGGAATTGGAGACAAGAGCGTAGAGCTGCTCCTTTTTCTCAATAGCAATAATAGGGGGTCTGGTAGTTCATCGGAACGCTTCCCTGCTAAAGGCATGATGCAGTGTGACTGTGGTTATCAGCTGTAAAAGGATTGTCCAGGTGCCACAGCCATGTCAGTTCTCTTCCCCTATGTCTGAGGGCTCAATCATGGTGGTGGAACACATTATGTGTGTTCCACTTTGGTTATTTCCCCTTCTGGGTCAGTCGATTAGCTGCCATGGCAGAAGTCACATCATTGGAGGCCTCCTTGGCGAAGACCAGGGACTTTTTTCAGCCTGAATGTCAGGCCTGCAGTGACATCTTCTCTAAGCGCTCAGGGAGCAGTACTTAAACAGGTGGAGAGGGTGGTGGGGTAGCTTTCTGCTACTTTCCGCCAGATTTCCCTCACACAGAACATTGCCCCAACTTATAAGTAAGAGAGAAGGGAACACTATTGACATTATTGAGGAGCGCCAAGGAAAGGGAGCATCCATATGTAACTTGGCATTAAGGACCATCAAGAAAATAGGTCAGGCTTACAGGGCAAATGCTCTGCCGGTTCTAAAAAGTCCAAACTACAAGGAGCATGTTGACGTCATGGGCCTCTTGTAAAAAAGTATCGCTTCAAATGATCTGCAGCACTGCTACGTGGTTGCCGCCCCATGCTTCATTCAGAATTACAATGTAACAACATTATTGTTACGTTGTATATACTTTGTTTAATTTATCTGCAGATCAAAGGGATGACCTTTGATCTGCATATGATGCCAGTTAAAGAAAACATACCAGTAACTTTTTTTTTTAGGTAAAATGGATTATTAACACCTAGTTGATCCTTATGAGCCCTAATTAACTCTTACTTCCACTTCTCCCCTTTAGCTATTATAGTTCTGCTTATTTATTTTTTTATTTATTATCGCTATTTCTTAACCAATAGTATTTAAACTTTTCCGTCTTCAAGTACTTTTTTGTTCCAGAAAAATAATGTATTAAACACGTAGCAAATAAAGAATAAAATGTATGTATACATTTATTGTCTATAGATTTCATAGAAATAAAAATAATTCTGCAACACAATATTAATAAAAAAAACATTGTCATTAAAAAACAATATCTATATTTATTATTATTTTGTTATCTTAAGTAATGACAAAGTTATTACTGATTAATAGGGATAGCCATAGACACACATTTCCATAGTGGAATTGTAAAAATTGCTCTGGTCCATAAGGGGTATACAGGGGTGAGAGTGAGAGTGGATGTGGTTAAATGACAAAAAGTGATAAACTTGACTGCATGACCAGGGGTTAAAACTAGGTTATGTTTTTATAGGACAGTGATGTATGGTTGTTCATTTTCAGAGATTTGTTGGGATGAATGATATCTGCTCTAAATGATTAACAATATGTCACTAAGCAGCTGACAGTGGAATGCCATTCTTCTGTCTTTTTCAGCTGATGTAGTTAGTCTGAAAATGTATGAGGAGCTGAAGAAGGAGGTCCAGGACCTCAGGCAGGATGTAAACCACCTAAAGGAACAACAGTCATTGCAGACAAGTAAGTAAAGTGCAAACCATTTCTAAATCAATGATCAAGATATTTGTGCTACTTGCTCACACTGTAATGTCAACTCAATATTTGGATAACAAATAAAAGTACGACACTTCCACAAGTGTTACTTAATCATTTATGAAAGGTCCATTAGGGTTGCCCTGTAAATAATGGCATACCTGGGCCTAGAGCCGATTCAAAACCTAACTTAAAACTTCAAAAATAATGCTTTCATTTTAAATTACACATTGTGAAGCTGCGTTTATTGTTTGTAGGATATACTACAGCTTTGTTTGCTTTGATTTAGGTTCATGACCAGCAGTAGAAAGTATAGTGTTAAAATGCATAATGTAAAAGGTTTTTAATTTGACCAAGATTATTATAGAATACATTCAGAATATATAGAATACATTCAGATTTTTATTTTTTTTTAAGTAATAAAGTTTTATTGTTTTTAAGTGTTACGTACAACAAGTAAAGTATTTGTTACGAGTACAAACAATACAATAGGTACAACAGGTACCAGCATAGGGGAAATTAAACGGTTGGACAAGACCTGTTACAGTAGGTGTTAATATGTTGTTGAATTGTCTTATCAGGTTAAATGAGGGGTGGCTAACCCCTTTTTTTATATGAAAGTGCTGGTTCACTCCAGACTTTTAATAGACTGAGCATTAAAATATCCTGGAAAGCAGTGTCTTACAATAGATAATTCATGTCAGACACATTGAACAGCTCCTAGCTGACATAGTTGTTCTAGGCTTCTCAGTGCACTTGAAAAGTCAGTTAACAAGTCATTCATTGGCTGCAGTTTCTTTCGAGGGAAATCCCTGCCCTTTCATTAAAGTGGCACTAAACGCAGGAGTTAAATCTTAAAAAATGCATTAAAGTACCTTAAAGTGACATTAAACCCTCAGATTTTTTTTAACATAAAATAGTGTAATGTGTGCCTTACTGTAATCCATGGTTGTTTCCCTTCTCTTTGCTGCTCTTCCTTTTAAATCTGTATCTGTTCTCATGCTGGGCAGAACTTCTGTTTTGCAGCAGACTGCCTTGTCTCTGGAATGGCTACATGGTGTCTGTGTGCAGGTTCACAACCTGAGCCAGCACTACAGGAAGAGGCACTCAGCTGCAAAGGGAAGTTCTCCCCAAGCATGAGAAGTGATAGATTTAAAAGGAAGAGCAGCAAAGAGAAGTGAAACTACCATGGATTACAGTAAGGCACACATTACAGTATTGCTTTATGTTAAAAAATCTGAGGGTTTAATGTCACTTTAAATATTAACAAAAATGTAACTTATTTGTGTATTACTCAGCTGTAGAACATCAAATCATCTCTGAATTTATCCTGATACTGTCCTTCCTTCTGAAAGGTGGGCTACTTTTGTTCCACATGGTCCCTGTGTGTGTTGTAAAGTAGCTACCACTCCGAGCTCACTCCTGTGACGGACTACAAACTTATGTTAAGTTTACTAATTTGTGTTGTGTTTGTAGTCCATCACAGGAGTGAGCTTGGAGCTACTTTACAACACACACAGGGACCATGGGGAACAAAAGTAGCCACCCTCCAGAAGGAAGGACAGTGTCAGCACCAATTCAGAGATGATTTGAGGATCTACAGTTGAGTGATACACAAATAAGGTACAATAGTTAGGGTCAGTAAATGCATTTTTAAGATTTAAAGTGACATTAAAGTCACAATTATCCCCCCCCCCCTCCCCCCATGCTGCTTTAAGGCTGACTTATCTTAAATGATGCCTATTGAGCCGATCGTCTTCTGATCAGCCCGCTAAAATCTCTTCTTAATAAATTACTAATACGATCAACTACAATGCAAATGAAATGAACAAAAGCAGACATGGCCGAAGTCAAGCTTGGGTGGCAACTATGGCTCCCTATATAGATACAATGGAAACGTGAGTGTAGCCACGAAAGGACAGGAAGTGTTTTATTCGCAGGATGAAGAAAACAAATCCTAAAAAAAAAAATGAAGACAGTCAACACATCTACGGACTGGTAAGCTGAAATGTGTTACATTTATGTTATTGAGTTTAGATATGCTTTAAAACATGCAAAGAAAAGGTGTATATAGTATTTCCTGCCCATAGGAGGAACGGTCAGAATACCAATGCTGATAACCTGTTGTCCAGTGTGATCAGATAAGTCTGACTACATAAAAATACAACATCATACCTAAGTAAAAAATGCAGTTTATTTGGAAACACATCAACTCAAAAACATATACAACAACCCAATATACAAGTTAATAAAAACACATGTGCAGGGTGAGCCAACTAGCTAACTATATTCAAAGTAAAAAAAAAAAGAAATGATAAAGCAAATGGGAAATGGAGCAGTGTCATGTGGGGTAGCAGGTAGTATACAGGTCAGGAGCAAGACAGACCGCATACAGCATAATGCAGGATCAGGCTGGATTCAGGTACAGCCCGGATACAGGCACCCAGTCAGAACAAAGAGGTAAATAGTTAATTGTGATGTGGGACTAAGTCGCCACCCAGCAGCCAGCTGAATTATCACTAAGCTCTGCTGACTGTAGTAGACACCCACTGGTGGACAGTGGAACTGCGCCATTCCTGCCCATGAACTACAGTGCCACCAGCACACCAGAACAACTACAGTGACCTAAATTGATAAAAACAAACAAAGGAGTTCTTGGCTACACCAAGGTTCTTGTAAGGGCCCTTTAATAAATGGGAGATTCCCCACTCGGGATTGGCTTTTAGCTTACCATTTAGGGGAGCAGTGTGGTAGGTGTATAAATAATTGGTTTGAGTCAAAGAAGAATGGGAGCAGGTGGTCTAGTGTAATGACAGCTGTCAACTTGCTGGAAAGAAGGAGAGCGCTCTCATGATGTGAGTGGAATTGACATTTGTTTCTCCTTCTTGGGAGAACATAGTCCTACATTGTGTTTCCCCAGCAAGAAGAGCGACTTCTTTGAGATGGTATTGATTGAAATGGGGGGGTCTGAGAAGTTTTGTGAGAGGAAACTAGATGAGCGCCACTGCCATTTGATGCAAAAAGCTATGTGATATTATTCATAAGAAAGAGCCAACGTGAAGATATCCACGTTGTATCCACGTATGTGAATAGTATTGCTGGGGTAGAAAGGCAAGAATACATTTTTTAGACCAGAATATCAGCTCATATTCAATACTCCTTTAGTAAATCAAACCCAACACTGTTACCAGCAGCTCATAAAGTATACTAGCTCATGACATATTTCAAACTCCTGGATCACCATCACTTATTCCTTGTTTTTTCAGTCTGTTTAAAGGGTACAAAAGCTCTCAACAAATGCTACCTGTCCGTCTTTGAACCAAAGAATTACCACCAGGCCAGCGATGACTGCATTGCACAAGGGGGGACCCTGAGCACCCCAGAATCCAGAGATGAAAACGACTTCTTGAATGATTATGTGCGTAAGAGCTTAGGCATGACCTCTGAAGTCTGGATAGGCATCAACGACATGGCAAATGAGGGTTCTTGGGTGGATATGACAGGCAGTCGAATTTCCTTTAAACATTGGGAGACCGGAACTACCTTGGAGCCTAATGGTGGCAAACAAGAGAACTGTGCATTGTTGTCTGAAGCTGCCAATGGCAAGTGGTTTGACAAAAATTGCAAAGAGGAACTGCCTTTTGTATGCCAGTTTTCAATTGTTTAGCTGACATATCAATGTTTAGACCAACCACAATGGACAGTTTTGTGGCTGGAGGCTGGTTCAGTTACCCTCTGCTTCTTTTATATTTTTGAGACTCAAGTGGTAAAGCCTCTACCTATTGTGTCTGATTTTTCCCAACTTATAAAACATTAGAGCAGGTATAGGAGTTCCTTGCTTACCTTCTTAAAAGCTACAGTGGGGAACAGAGCTAGGAACTCCACTGCGGCAATCTCACTGTTAGAGTATGAATAAGGAACCAGTGGGTGAACTGAACTACTAGCATCCACCAAAAACAGAAGAATGTTATGTAAATCCTAAATTTACAAGCATGCTTAAGAGCAATTATTTAGCGAAACCTAAACACTATGCTCAGTCACCTAAAAAGTTAACATGTCATACTTAATGAAACTATATTTGTCCTTGTCACTACTATAGTTTATTTAGACCCAGACTTTAACTAGCTGACACATGTATTTATTTACATATTCTGTATTGTACATAGGCTTATGACAGAGGAAATAATTAGCGTTATATGCTATGTTAACTGTACCAAATAAAGTCTTTTTCATATATTTCTTCATATTACAAATGGCTGTTTTCATTTGTGGATTTCAAAATTACTTGTATAAAATCAAAAAACAAGTCCTTAAAGATGCACTGTCATCTTCCCATTAGATTAGATGTGCATTTACATGCACTACAATGCACTACACATAATTACGTTACAAGAATAACGCTGCAAAGAAGGAACATACACTATATTGCCAAAAGTATTGGGACGCCCCTCCAAATCATTGGATTCAGGTGTTCCGTGAAATTTCCTTGCTACTAAATATTCCACAGTCAACTGTTAGTGGTATTATAACAAAGGGGAAGCAACTGGGAACAACAGCAACGTAAGGCCACGTAAAATGACAGAGCGGGGTCAGTGCATGCTGAAGCGCACAGTCCACAGAAGTCGCCAAGTGTCTGCAGAGTCAATAGCTACAGACCTCTAAACTTTGTGTGGCCTTCATATTGGGACAACAACAGTGCGTAGAGAGCTTCATGGAATGGGTTTCCATGGCTGAGCAGCTCCATCCAAGCCTTACATGACCAAGTGCAATGCAAAGCGTCGGATGCAGTGGTGTAAAGCACGCCGCCACTGGGCTCTAGAGAAGTGGAGACGTGTTCTCTGGAGTGACTAATCACGCTTCTCTGTCTGGCAATCTGATAGACGTGTCTGGGTTTGGCGGTTGCCAGGAGAACAGTACTTTCCTGACTGCTTTGTGCCAAGTGTAAAGTTTGGTGGAGGGGGGATTATGCTGTGGGGTTATTTTTCAGGGGTTGGGCTGGCCCCTTAGTTCCAGTGAAGGGAACTCTTAAGGCATCAGCATACCAAGACATTTTGGAGAATTTCATGCTCTCAACTTTGTGGGAACCGTTTGGGGATAGCCCCTTCCTGTTCCAACATGACTGCGCTCCAGTGCACAAAACAAGGTTCATAAAGACAGGGATGAGCGAGTTTGGGGTGGAGGAACTTGACTGGCCTGCACAGAGTCCTGACCTTAACCCGATAGAACACCTTTGGGATGGATTAGAGCGGAGACTACAAGCTAGGCCTTCTCGTCCAACATCAGTACCTGACCTCACAAATGCGCTTCTTGAAGAATGGTCAAACATTCCCATGGACACACTCCTAAACCTTGTGGACTGCCTTCCCAGAAGAGTTGAAGCTGTTATAGCTGCAAAGGGTGGGCCAACTCAATATTGAACCCTACGGACTAAGACTGGGATGCCGGTAATCAGGGGAAAAAACAAGGGAGAACGAATTGACTTACAAACGTCCACTCTATTGTAACAAAGAGATCACAGACCCTTTGGTTCGTAATCTTGTATTAGAAGGCCAGCTCCAAGACAGTGGTAACAGATTGCGCATTGAACTCAAACCAATTACCTTTCTTAAAAAATCTATTGAACATTGTCAAAAAAATCTCCTAAGATATTATCAGGCTGTCCAATTTGCCCAACTCACTAGTTACCAAGTACCATGCAGCTGCAGAAAATGTCATTTTGGTCTCTCTAAAGACGGTTGACTAATCCTCCACTTTTAAATAACGTATTGTGGTTACATCCTCCATAACCAATCCTATAACACGCCATTCCTTTAAAGTATGGTATGATACAAAATACTCTGGAGGCCTTTTGTTACCATACCTAAGGCTGGGCACACACCTTAAAACCATCGCAAGACTTTTGTCTTGCGATGGTTGTAAGGTACTTAAAAAAACGTATGATCTGCCTATCTTGCATAGGCAGATCGTACTTGCGATGATCGCAAGCCACGCCCCCTGATGGGCGGGCTTCCGATGACCGCAATGCTGAACGGGCAGTGTGCGATTATCCCGTACGATTATCGCACGATTATCGTAAGGTGTGTGGGGACCTTAACTCTCCCATCTGTCATTAAATCCAATCCTTCCCTCCTGAATGCAATTTACTGGTTAGCTGTGTTACGTTGGGATTAACCTGCTCTCCTTGCTTAACACCTCAGACAGGATTAAATCTTTCCATACTTTACAAACTGACTACCACCTGTCAATATCTGAATTCCTTTGGTGCTTACAAGTTAAACATATTTGCTTTATTATTGCCCCCCCCCCCACCCCTAGCACTGGGCTGAACCTGCACACCACACCATTTGAATTAAAATGTAGAGATAACCCTAACTCAGGAGTCTAATCTTAAAACATGTATTCAGATACCTTGATTATTAATAAAATCTTATTTGGGTATCACTCGGCTACATCAGCGAGCCACGCCAGAGTGCAGGCCAGAGTGACAAGTCCCAGCACTCCTGTCCACTGAGAAAGCTACAGCACTAAAAAAGAAGTGAGAGAGAGTCCAGGTGCACAAAACGGGGAAACGGCACAGTAACAAAAACTACAATGCCACCAGAGACATAACAGTTATCAGTAGTTTATACTGAAGGATACATGGCCCAGCACCACAGGCACCCACCATTAGGGGAGATTTACAAGCCAAAATGGGATCATCTATCCAAGAGAGGCTAACCATGGGCAGGAAGAGCGGAAAAGAAGTAAAAAAAAAAGTTCATATATGTAAAGGTGACCAAAAGGAGGATGTAAAAAGAACATCTGCCGGGAGTCCAGGCTAACATTTATGGGCTAGTTAGGGATGTCCTGTTGGGGCCGGAGGGGCAGAGCTGACAACTGTTGAGTTTTGTACGAGTTTTTGTAATTATTTTTGTGATCCCCAAATTTTTAGTTAATTTACATTAATTGTATTGGGATCTGTTCCAGCATCATACTGGGTTCACAAATGTATAATAACACACTGGCGCTTGAGCATTGAGACAGTGAAGTAACTTCTATATTCCCATATCTATAGCAAACTATTCACATACTGGGTGATATTATATGACCTCACAAAACTCTTTTGACTGGCAGCACCCGCGTGCCTTTTCTTTAAGATTTCCTGGCAGTGATGCATTACTGCACACATGTGCCACATCTGCACAGCTATCGATAGTGTTTGATGTCTCTGATTAAATTATGTTTTCTTACTCAGAATCTACGAGACAAAAAGTAACACCTGCAATGTATTTAACATTAGATGGATATAAAACATGAAAATAGAAGAAAGCATATGTGGAAGGCTACTGTAACCCAGATGTGTACTTTAACAGAGTTTGAACTTCTGTTCTTTAATCATGGTATTTTCTTTTTTAGTTTAATTTATTATGGATGTGTACTAGCAGAAACACCTGCCAGGAAGGATTTGTTACATACTGCAAAAAAATAAAAAAACTAATTAGGGGTAGACTAATGAATGCTCATCTGTGAATGGACGCTACATGTTTCTATACATCACAACCTGGAAACCTGAAATGGAGGCTGCCATTGTCACCCTCCATGTGGACATTATCCAGCTGTCAGCATGACAACCATTATCTTCAATTTTAGAAAGAGAGGTTATTATTATTATTTATATTGTTAATATTCAGGATTTATATAGCTCCAACAGTTTGTGCAGAGCTTTACAATATACAGTATATTATAATATGCCTACTTACCCATGCAGCCCTGATTTGAAGATCCAGGAACAAAAAAGCAAAGCTATAGCCAAAAAATAGACAAATATAAATAGCCCATTAAAAAAAATAAAAATAAAAACAGCATTTACTGCCATATTCACTTTCAATCCAGAAACTTTCCCCACGGTACTTTTTTTCCACTACAGTACTTTTTTCCACTAGAAAGCCAGCATCAATCAACCCACTTCCTCTAAACCGAGATCATCCTGGACGCATCCCAGCCTGTGACAGGACAATGAAGAAGAAGCAGCACAGTAATAAATTCATTTCTCTGCCACTCTACTTTCTCTTCCCATCAGCACTGCTTCTTGTCAGCACATGAACGGATTGACTCCTTGTGCTGCTACTTCCTCTGAAATACCTGCCCTACTGCAGGGCCGTAGATAATTTTTTTCCCTGGGGGGGGGGGTTCAGCTTCCTCAAATTATAAGACTTTATCTAGCAGACACACTAAGGTTTGGAAAAAAAAGCGACATCCGTGGCCACTTCAGCACCCCCCCCACACACACATTATATGGGGCTTCTCGGTCAGGAGTGCGGTGGGAATATTTGCCTGTGACCATTGGCCAGTGGGTCCCCGTGTGCCTTCCACTTTTCTAGGTGAGAGGCTCATCAGCCTTCCCCTAGCACAGCACTGTCAGTTCTTGCGCCAAGCAGCCATTCAAAATATGCCTCCCAGAGCCGAGTGTCAGCTTGAGGTGGGATGTGATAGGACAATAGCTGCGAGGGAGCTCCATTCATACGTGCATTGCTTACAGCTCCCTCTCATGTCCTGTAGAGGTGGCTGGCCCAGTGTGATGTAACATACTGGCTCCAGACACCTCTACAGGGTGTGCATTGGGGGGAGGGAAACATTTTTTTTACTTTAATGTCACATTAAAGTGATATTAAAGGCAAATTATTTTTTCCCTCCCCCATGTAAATGTTAGCACTTACCTTCCAGCGATAACGA